AGTCAAATTAGATCAAGTTCAAAAATGAATTCAAAAACTTAAATTCAAACATTTCATGTAATCTGTATGGCAGATACTGTTCTGTTACTCACAGGATTTTGATGATTTCCTTTCCAAAGTAATAAGTTCACAGAATCACATGTCCTCATTTAGGAAGAATCTTAATAGCATGCCTACTCTATAACTAAGTAATTGCATTTCTAGAATGTTCTTCCATAAAAAAAAATCCAAAATACAGAAGAGGCTTTGAATTCAAATAAGTAATGCATATCAACAAAAATTAGAAAGAACCTAATGCCTAACCAAAACCAAAATAATATTTACGTATACTGATTTTTCTTAAACAACAAAAAAATCCCTGCTCTTCATCCAGGGTTCATCTTCACAAACAGAACCACATTCACTACCTGCTCAAGCCAAGATCCATGATGTCATCCTTTACTCTTTCCTCTGGCACTCCACATCAAAGACAACATCATGTACTATTGACTTTACTTTCAAAATACACACCAAACCCTGCAACCCACTTCCATTACCACTGTCAGTTTAGAGCGAGCCATAATCATCTTTTGCCTGTACTACTACAGCAACCTTTTTTTTTTTTGGTTTGTTTTTTGAGTTGGTGTCTCACTCCACTGCCCAGGCTAGAGTGCAGTAGCACGCTCACAGCCACCCCAGCATCAACCTGCTGGGCTCTGGCGATCCTTCCTCCTCAGCCTTCCAAGTAGCATGAACTGTAGGTGCAGGCTACTATGCGTGGCTAACTTTTTTTTCTTTTAATTGTACAGACGAGGACTCACCATGTTGACCAAGTTGGTCTTGGCTCAGGCAATCCTCTCACCTCGGCCTCCCAAAGTGATAGGATTACAGGCTTGAGTCACTGCACCTCTTAACTACTTGTTTCCACTTCAACCACCACCATCTGCCCTCATCACAGTCTATTGGCCATATAGTAGCTACAATGACATTTTAAAAGGAAACTCAAATCTACCGCTCTTAACCCTCCACTGGTTATCCATTACATCTAAATTAAAATCCAAAATCTTCATCATGCTCAATAATGCCCCACGTAATCTACTTTCCCAAATCCAACCTTTCCCCACTCTAGTCACACTGGCTTCACTGCATTTCTAACACTTCAATACGCCTGTTGCTATCTCTGGGCCTCTGCACTGCTGTTCCTTCTAACAGAAATGCTATTTCCCTAAAAATCTTGTATTTCAGGCTTAAATGCCACTTTTTCGGAGAGATCTTCTCTGAGAGCCTAGTTAAAGCAGAAGATATACTCATTCTCTAATCCTTTATCCATTTTCATCAAGGCATCTATTACTATCAATAATATATTGCATATATATTTGTTTGCTGTCTTTCAACCCCATAAAAAATGTAAGATCCATGATAGCTTGAGTCTGTGTTGCTCCCCAACACCTAGGCCAGTGCCCTACATACAGTAAAAGCTTAAGGAGTATATGTCCAATGTTCAATGATTAAATTCTTATGATATATAACTTTATTATTTAAGAAATATTTTTTAAATGGCCTTTAAAAAGCTAATATAAGATAGAGTGACATGATAAAGCATCTTATACAGACTCTACAACACAGGGGGGAAAAAATCTATACTCAAAAACTGGTTACACAACCGGGCATGGTGGCTTAGACTGCAATCCCAGCACTTTGGGAGGCCAAGGTTAAAGAACTGCCTGAGCCAGTTCAAGACCAGCCTGGGTAACTTGGTGAGACCTTGTCTCTGCAATAAATCACTAAAACTAGCTGGGTGTGGAGACGTGCGTCTGAAGTTCCAGCTACTTGGAAGGCTGAGAAGGAAGGATCGCCTAAGCCCAGCAGGTCGAGGTTGTGGTGGCCACGAACGTGCCCCTGCACTCCAGCCCAGGTAACAATAGTGAGACTCCAACTCAAAAAAAAAAACAAACAACTGGTTATAGTAGTTGTCCTAAATATTTTTGTCTTCTTCCATTTTTTTTGAGTTGGAGTCTCACTCTGTTGCCCAGGCTGGAGTCGCTCACAGCCACCCCAGCATTGACTTGCTGGGCTCAGGTGATCCTTCTGCCTCAGTCTTCCAAGTAGCCAGAACTACAAGCGCGCGCAACCACACCCAGCTAGTTTTTTTACTTATTGTAGAGATGAGGTCTCGCCAACTTCCCCAGGTGAGTCACAAACCCACGGGTTCAGGAAATCCACTTGCCTCGGCCTCCCAAAGTACTAGGATTACAGGCTGAGCCACCGAGCCCAGCCAAAATTTTCATTTTCTTTCTCCTAGTTCTCTCTTTTTTTTTTTTTTTTTTTGAGTTGGAGTCTCACTCTGTCACCCAGACTGGAGGGCAGTGGCCGCTCCTGGCCACCGCTGCCTCGACCTGCTGGGCTCTGGTGATCCTTCCACCTCAGCCTTCCAAGGAGCTGGAGCTACAAGCACGCGCTACCACGCCCGGCTAATTTTTTTTTTTTTTTTTGATTTATTATAGCGATGAGGTCTCGCCAAGTTGCCCAGGCGGGTCTCAAACCCACGGGCTCAGGCAATCCACTCATCTCAGTCGCCCAAAGCGCGGGATTACAGGCTGAGCCACTTAATTTTAAAAAATAATTCAACGGCTGTTATCTTAATTTTAAAAAATAATTCAACAGTGAAGGTCTACTTTTGTAAATAGAAAAAATTATCATATGTTAAGAATTATGTCTCACAAAAATGACCCTGCCATTTTGTCCAGTCCTTTAAAAACAAAAAACTGAGACTTAGAAGAAGGTTGTGCTAGAAAAATAATTAAAGATTGCTTTCAATGTGAACTGAAGGTTCCTAATAACTAGGGTGACCAGATAATTTGTCATTCAAACTAAGTCAATTTTAAGAGTGAAAGGGGCTACAGAAGTAGTTAGTTGCTGTTTAATTAACAACAGGTGTAACTCAGCCTTCTTCCAAGCAAACCAGAAAAAACAATCAAACTCATTACTTTCATGACACTCTTTAAGATCAGCTTAAATCCCCAAAACCAACCAATCTACTCTTTACTTCAGTTCATAAACCATAACACATAAGCCACACTAGGTTGACTACTGGCCATTCCATTACACACACCTCTGAAACTTCATTTCTTAGAAGGCATTTCCTTCCCTTCCCAATTTACAGAAGTCCTACACCTTTCAGCTTAAGTGACATTTTCTAAATGAAGGGACTTCTTCCCTTATCATACAATAACATGCTCACAGCTTTCATTAAAGGTTCTTAACCTGGAGCATAGAGATGGCCTTATGAACATCTGTGAAAACCTGAAATTCTGTATAAACACTGCATATATGTTCTTCTTGAAGCAGAGAACATAGCAATTATTTTCAGATTTCAAAAGTGACTCATAACTCAAAACCAATAAGAAACACTGCTCTATCATATCACTTTAGATTACATTTATTTATTTACTCATATTACTCAGTAGACTATGAGTTTCTTCAAACCCTACCTATATTCACAGAAATAAATGATGTGCAGAACTAAAATTTTAAAAATATAGATTTGAGCCAGGCTCAGTGGCTCAGCCTGTAATCCTAGCGCTTTGGGAGGCTGAGGTGAGTGGATTGCCTGAGCCTGTCGGTTCGAGATCTGCCTGGGCAACTTGGAGAGATCTCATCTCTACAATAATCAAAAAAATCAGCCAGGCGTGGTAGCGTATGCCTGTAATTCTGGCTACTTGGAAGGCTGAGGCGGAAGGATCGCGGGAGCCCAGTAGGTTAAGGCGGTGGTGGCCGGGAGCGTGCCACTGTACTCCAATCTGGGCGACGGAGTGAGACTCCAACTCAAAATAAATATATATATATATATATATATATATGTGTGTATGTGTGTGTGTGTGTGTGTGTGTGTGTGTGTGTGTGTGTGTGTGTGTGTGTGTGTGTTTGACTCCCCATTCCTCTTAATTCCTTCTGGCTCACTGTAAAATACCTAAAATTTGCTTCAAATTTTATTACCTTTATTCTCCAACTTTTAAATTTGAATCATTTAATACAAAAACTTAAATTTCCTCTTGTTAAAACCACTCATTGCTCATTTTTCCAATCTTTCTGCATTTAAAAAAATACGTACCAAGGGTACCTGCACAATGCATATCTGTATACCTAACACTTAACTGTACCCCACAATTTTCAAATAAAAAAATATATATTTAAAAAATAACAAAATAAAAATATGTAATCAGAGGGAAAAAGAAAAACTAAAAATCTTAAAGTTAAAAAAGTAAAACTGAAAAAAACTGTAAGAAAAAGTATCTAAAAAGAAAATAAAGCTCAGTGTTCAAAAAAATCATAAATTCAAGACCAGAGATTAGTATTAATAGAAGAAAAAGAAGAGAAGTATGAGTCTATCTATGCTAACAACGCTTGTTCTGCCTCCAATTTTCAGATTGGCAGGACTCATCTCTACAATAAATAAAAAGTTGGCTGGATATGGTAGCGCATGCTGTAGTTCCAGCTACTTGGAAGGCTGAGGCAGAAGGATCACCTGAGCCCAACAGGTTGGCGCTGGGGTGGCCGTGAGTGTACCACTGCACTCCGGCTCCAAAAAAAAATTGCCTGTTAATAATTTAGTTTAAAACATTTCAAGCTGGGCTCAGTGGCTCAGCCTGTAATCCTGCGCTTTGGGAGGCTGAGGTGAGTGGATTGCCTGAGCCCGCGGGTAACTTGGCGAGACCTCATCTCTACAATAAATGTAAAAAAAAAAAAAATTAGCCGGGCGTGGTAGTACGGATCTGTAGTTCCAGCTACTTGGAAGGCTGAGGCGGAAGGATCGCCAGAGCCCAGCAAGTCGAGGCTGCAGTGGCCAACAGTGGCCACTGCACTCCAGTCTGGGCAACAGAGTGAGACTCCAACTCAAAAAAAAAAAAAAAAAATTTCAACATGCTGGCAGGGCATTCTGATAAAAAAAAAAAAAAAAAAAAAAAAAAGAAGAAGAAGAAGAAGAAGACATGCAATATGACCAACAATCTGGAGACACTCACCGTATTGTAGACAGCTGAGACAGCGGGAGTAAAGATTCGCTCCTCGATAGGCTGCTGCACAGGTCCTCTAGGAATTCTAGAAGAGCGAGTCAAGGATAAGAGAACTCAAAAATGGATGGTTTTAGAAGTAAGAGACAACTCCCACCACAAAATTCTGCAAATGACCCAAGCTTTTTCACTCAATGAGTTATATACTTCTCCACTGAATCTAAAAAATAAAGTATTTCCTAATGTGACTAAATCAATCTCTCCAAAAATCAACATTCTATGGAAACTTAAAACAATTACAAGTATTACACTTCTCCAAATATTACAGCCATGATGAGAATCTGCCACCTTTACTTGCTATTGAAAAAAAAAAAAACAAAGAAAAAGTAAAAGCAGAATATTCAGGATGATAAGACTAATTCATCAAGGGGAAATTGGTGACAAAGACCCAGTCTGTTCTGCTAACTACGCAAAAATAGCAAATACAATTGTTTCCTTGTTTTTCTTATTTTGTCTGCTGCTTTACCCCTTATTAACCCCCCAGCTCCCCATTTGTAAAGAGGCTCTCCAGCATAATTTAGTTTAAAACATTTCAGCATGCTAGCAGGGCAGTCTGTTAAAAAGCAAAAGATTATACTTTTATTCAGCTTCGAAATAAGAAAGATGTAAACTCTTCTACCTGGTAAGGCAATATTATGGATCAGAAAATACTGGTGCCCTTGACCTCATTAAGAATGACAACCAAAAGACTGGCACCAGAAGATAATAGCAATTACTTCAGGATAATGGGTTTACATAATTTTACTATGTGTTTTTTTCTACAATGGGTATAAGAAATTTGTATGATTTAAATGTACTTTTTAATGACTATAGACGTAGCAAGCTGAAAATAAGAATCTTTGCTTTAACTAAACAAATATTTAATACTTCTCATATCATATTCCTTTCTAATTCAATGAGATAGTTTGGAAGACAAAGTGAGAGCTACAAATAATTTATTAAGAATGACCAGGTTGGGTGCCGTGGCTCACATCTATAATCCCAGTACTTTGAGACACGACCTAAACAAAAAAAAAAAAAAAAAGAATGACCACAAGTTGCCAAAATCAGAGAATCATTAAAAGGAAAAACATATATGGAGTGCAGTGACACAATCACAGCTCATCACATCTTCAAACTCTTGGGCTCAGGGATCCTCCTGCCTCAGTCTCTCAAGTAGTTGGGACTAAAGTATGTACCATCACACCCAGCCAGTTTTTAAAAATATTTTTGTAGAAATAGGTCTCGTTATGTTGCCTAGGTTGGTCTCAAACTCCCAGGCTGAAGCATTCTCGTACCTTGACCTTCCAAAATGCAAGGATTAAGGATGTGAAGTAACATTTTTTACATTCAAGTTGATATAGTTTCCGATGAGTTTACATAGAGATAAAACCAGAAAAACAAAAAAGCTCTGTACTTTATTTATTTTTATTTTTATTTTTATTTCTTTTTTGAGTTGGAGTCTCACTCTGTCACCCAGACTGGAGTGCAGTGGCCGCTCCCGGCCACCGCAGCCTCGACCTGCTGGGCTCTGGTGATCCTTCCGCCTCAGCCTTCCAAGTAGCTGGAACTACAGGCATGTGCTACCACGCCCGGCTAATTTTTGATTTATTGTAGAGATGAGGGCTCACCAAGTAGCTCAGGCGGGTCTCGAACCCGCGGGTTCAGGCAATCCACTCACCTCAGCCTCCCAAAGCGCGGGATTACAGGCTGAGCCACCGAGTCCGGCTAGCTCTGTGCTTTAAATCATTAAAACTAATAACAAGATACCAGTCTCTAGAAAGTTCTTTAAACAAGCAACCTCAGATGATGGTTGAATGCGTTGCCATCATTTCCTATACACAAGCTACTGATTTAAAATGCTGCATTGAGAAATAGCAACGCTAAAACATTTCATAAAGGAACTTAATCCAAATCATGTGTGTATATATGTGTGTGTGTCTAATGTAAACAAATACAACCCTAAAAAGTTTCAGACAAAAGCCCTCATTATTAACTGCTCAATTCTTTCAGAATGAAGATTACCCCTTAGCTGAAATAAAACTTTCTTTGCGTTAAGAGTTCTGCAGTGTGGTCATATGACTGGTAGAAAATATGAGGATATTCTTTCTTCTGCAGAGCTAACTGCCATTAGTTTTTCCACCTAGAGCTAATTCTTGCTATGAAAGAATATAAATTCTCAAATGAGTTATGCTTTTGGTGCAAAATGCTGAGTCACTCCACTTAACCTTACAAGGGGAGAGTTAACAGTCCTGATTTCTATTAGTTACTTTAATAGATAAAAAGATTACTATAATAACAAGCCTTCTAAAGAGACACTCATATATTTGGTCAATTGGTACTAACATTATTTTTTCTTAGCCACAAATGAAGAATGTTCATTTCATTTATTTCACTTCCTGTAAACTACCAACAGGATATTGTGGAATGATAAACTGTCTTGTAAGAGATATTCTGTATAAAATATATATATTATTTAAAAAAAAACATAGTCCTATTTTTAAAAAAACTGAAAACACAAATCAGAAGCTCTAGCCCCCTGCTGTGGCTCACACTTATAATCCTAGCACTTTGGGAGACCAAAATGGAAGTTGAAACTGTTATGATGTATATCATTAGAAAATATGAAGAAAACTAGCAAGATTATACAGATGGCATGTAATGCTGAATTACGACTCTAAGTAGAAATATAAACGTAAAAACTGTTAAATTGTACACGTTCTTTTTCTAATAAAAATTACCAAATGACAAATTTCACAAAGTGAAATTTTAAAGTTAAAGATTATTAAAGCACAACAGACTCTGAACTGATTATTAAAGTACTCACTGCATACTATCTACATTAAATGACAACTAAGCAAATAAAAAAATTTCCAGAAGCCAGGCATGGTAACTCATGCCTGTAATCCCAGCTCTTTGGGAAGCTGAGTTGAGAGGACTGCCTGAGCCCACAGGTTCAAGACCAGCCTAGGCAACTTGGCAAGACCACATCTCTACAATAAATCAAAAAATTAACTGGGTGTGGTGGCACATGCCTGTAGTTCTAGCTACTTGAAAGACTGAGGCAGAAGGTCACCTGATCCCAGCAGGTTGAGGGTGCGATGGCCATAAGCGTGCCTTGCACTTCAGCCTGGGCGACAGTGTTTGACACCAACCAAAAAAAAAAAATCCAGAGATCAAATTTCATCACAGAAATCCATGAATGCATGAGGAGATTACACAATGATGTGAATGCTGCCTGCTTATGCCATACAGAAAAGAGGGAGCCAATATTTTTCTAAGAACAGATTTACCGAAACTTCATTAATGATGAACTCTCTTCAGGATGAAACTTCTGGATCTAAAGTAATCATATCTGGCACTGGGCTTGACTCATAGTCAGCACCCTCCTTGAAAAGTGGATTTTCAGTCGGGCTCGGTGGCTCAGCCTGTAATCCCGTGCTTTGGGAGGCTGAGGTGAGTGGATTGCCTGAGTCCGCGGGTTCAAGA